ACTTTTTCAAAAAAAAAACAAAAAAAAGGCTTCAGGGGGAAAATGGGGGGGGGGGGGAACGTTTCCCCCCTGAATTTTTCCAGTTTTTTTCCGGGCCTTCACATCTCTAGAAGGGCTGTGATCCCGAAGGATGCGATCCACAAGGAACATACTCTCCACAAATCCCACTGAAGTGAGACATCTGTTTATTTATTTCAATGGGAGACATATTTACGATACCTTCTGTCCGCAGGGGGAAAAAACCTCAGTTTTTCCAGGCCTTCCCATCTGATTATTTGTTCAAGCTTTAGACTAAGGTGCTCCTTGAGGTGTGCCCACACAGCCAGCATGAGGCGTAGAACCCCATTACACAGCCCTTCTCGGAACGAATGTTGACTACACAAAAGGGAATTCCCTGAGTTTTCTGCCCATCAGAATACTCACACTAAGTAATTACAAGACCATCCAAAGAGATTCTCTGGCCCTTCTCGGCTAGGAGGGCGGGGGTAGAAATTTGAGGACTAAATAAGTAAATAAATGAATTTATTTGGAATACCTCTGCTCATCCTCTAGTGTGATTTATGCCATCATGTGTCAGCAATGCCCATCCACCCTCTACATTGGACAAACAGACTAGTCCTTCTGACAAAGAGTAAAAAGGGGCAGAAGAAGAAGAAGAGATTGGATTCATACCCCGCCCTTCACTACCCAAAGGTGTCTCAGAGCGGCTTACAAACTCCTTTCCCTTCCCCTCCCCACAACAGACACCCTGTGAGGGAGGTGGGGCTGAGAGAGCTCTTTCGAGGACTGCCCTTGAGAGAACAGCTCTGACAGAACTATGAAGAAGAGACAGGACAACTCTGACAGAACTATAAAAGTGGAGGAGGAGGAGATTGGATTTATACCCCGCTCTTCACTACCCAAAGGTGTCTCAGAGTGGCTTACAAACTCCTTTCCCTTCCCCTCCCCACAACAGACGCCCTGTGAGGTAGGTGGGGCTGAGAGAGCTCTGACAGAAACTGCTCTTTTTTGCAAGAACAGCTCTTATCAGAACTATGGCTTACCCAAGGTCATCCAGCCAGGTGCGAGTGGAGGAGTGCGACTGGCTCACAGGAGAGCGTTATGCTCTGCAGAGAGCAACTTAACTGGTGACCCCTGGCCCTAAGGATATCCGGCTGTCCTCAACCAGAGCCAGGACTCTTTCAGTCCTGGCTCCAGTCGGTGGAACGCTCTACCAAATTCCACCAGGGCCCTGCAGGATTTAATGCAATTCCACAGGGCCTGCGAGGCAGAGAGGTTCCGCCAGCCCTTTGGTTAAGGGCAGCCACGGTTCCATCGTGGCTGGCACCCTTCTCTTTTTCCCCACCCCTGCTTTTTCGGCCTTCTCCCCCTTCATGCGCGAGAAAAAAAGCATAGTCCAGAGCGGGTTGGAGAAAACTGTATAGTTGGGTGCCATCTGACCCTTATGTATTGATTTTTAACTGTTTTTAAAATGCTTCTGTTTCTAAAATGATGCACGTCATCTAGAGCCTTGTCGTCCTACAGGGATTAGGCGATTAAGAAATTCAGTGTAATAATAAATAAAACAAGGAGCAGTCCTGCTTGGAAAAGCCCATCTTCTTTCTCCCTCATTACATGGTTTGCACCTCTCACTTGATGAACGGGAAAGGAATCACTGGGCACCGAGGTAGCACTGCACGGGAACCGCAGAGACGGCTTCTGCCTGGCTTCCCTCTGCCCCGCCCAGCCCCAGGTCTGCGCGGACAGCCCTCCTCACCTTCTTGCTGTAGATGCAGGCGGAGCCTTGGATCAGCAGCGCCGCCTCTATGAAGTTCATGGTGGTTCTGCCGCCATCAAACGAAATGCATATCTGCTCGAGCTGCGGAGGAAGAACGACAGGGTGGAGCAATGAGGGACGCAATGAAGAGCCACAGAGCCCGAGGGATTCGAAAGGAACTTACAGACCATCTAGTCCAGGGGTGTCGAACTCACTGGTTACGAGGGCCGGATCTGACATAAATGAGACCTTGTTGGGCCGTGTGTGTCATAAAAGGTAATGCCAGGTAGTGGAGATACGAACTTTATAAAGGACACAAACACAAAGGTTTTTTAAAAAACTTAAAATAAAAACATGCTTCAAACATCAGCACCCTTGCAATACTTTGCTGATTTAACAGTGTCTGATGACTGACACCTCTTGCTCTAAATTATCGCGTTGAAATGTCTGTGCTGTTAAAATCTTGAGTATGCTTTTCAGGTGTGTATCTGTAAGCTGTAAACCTACGATGATGCAGCAGCAACAGCAGAACTGGAAGTAGCAGCAGAAGACAGCCAGTTCCACTGTGGGCCTGATAGAAGGCCTCCTGGAGGGGGGCCTGATCCCGCCCACGGGCCGCATGTTTGACACCCCTGATCTAGTCCAACCTTCTGCTGAATGCAAGAAATCAAAACTAGACTATAACTAACAGGTGGCTGCCCATCTTTGGATTGGAGACCTGTGTCACTCAGGGTTCTGCTGTCAAAACGCTCTTACTGTTAAGAAGTGTCTGCCAACATGCAACCAGAAGTTGCAACCAGGAGGGTGAGAGGGTTGGAATCCAAGTCTTATGAAGAAAGGCTGAAAGAGTTGGGTCTGTTTAGCCTGGGAAAGAGAAGGCTTAGAGGGGACATGATTGCAGTCTTCAAATATTTGAAGGGCTGTCATGTAGAAGATGGAGTGGATCTATTCTCTCTTGCTCCGGATTGCAAGACTAGGTCTAATGGGTGGAAATTACAAGGGAGTCGTTACCGGCTAAATATCAGGAGAAACTTTCTAACTGTAAGAGTGGTTGAGTTCCCCCCCCCCACCCACAACTTTGCATTTGCCTCTGAAGAATTTCATTGTCAGTTTCCGCCTAGCTTTCTGAAGTCATTTAGAATTTTACTTCTTTTCTGTGGTGCTTCCACTCCTCCCGGTTTTGTGCCCTCTGCAGATTTGACCAGGGTCCCTTCCTCCTCCTCCTCAGCATTTTAAGCAATGAGGAGCTCAAAGCCCAGCTCTAGGGACCCCCCACACACACACACACACACTGGAGACCTCCCTCCGAATCAACAAAGTCCCAGGAAGAAGCAGTAACTGAACACGGTCCCTATGCCAGCAGCCCATGAAGCCACCTGAAAGTATTATCAGCCAGCCCTCATTTCGCCACTTTGCTAATGTGGGGGGGGGGGGATGGAGAAAGAAAGAGAACCGGATGGGATCAGACGTCAGGGGAGACCAGGCCCTCTCAAAGGTTCAGAGGGAGGCAAGTCACATCCAGCCTTTGGGGTCCCCAGACATAACCAAAAAATTAAAAATCACAACTCAGGACGCACATAAAGACAAACTGTAGAAGTCGTCAGACGTCAAAAAAACAGACAAACAAGTGTCTAAATCAGAGGGGCCCCCAAGGTAAAAGGGGTCTCTGCCCCCCACCCCAATCTTGGGGGTGCCTCCCGTAAGAATATAAGAAACTCCTGCTGGATCAGACCAGTGAGGGTCCATCCAGTCCAGCCTCCCGTCTCACACAAGGGCCAGCTAGTCCCTCTGGAGGGCCAGCAACAGGGCAGAGAGGCCGAGGCCTTCCCCTGATAAGAACACCAGAAGAGCCCTGCTGGGTCAGACCAGTGAGGGTCCATCTAGTCCAGCCTCCCGTCTCACACAGCAGCCAACCAGTTCCTCTGGAGGGTCAACAACAGGGCAGAGAGGCCGAGGCCTTCCCCTAATGTTGCCCCCTGCCACTGGGATTCAGAGGCTGACTGCCTCTGAACATGGAGGTTCCCTGTAGTCACCATGTCCATTAGACACTTATGGACCTCACATCCAGGAGTCTATCTAACCTCCTTTTCAAGCTTTTTCAGAGGATGACTGTCTCTGAACGTGGGGGTTCCCCTCAGTCAGCTGTTTATTCCTATGGCCATCGCAACATCTTCTGGCAGCCCATTCCACATTTTAATCACCCTCTGTGTAAAGTGGTGTTTCCTTTTGTCCGTCCTAAACCTACTGCCCATCAGCTTCACTGGATGCCCTCCAGTTCTCATCTTGTGGGGGAAGGAGAAAAAATCCCCTTTGTCAACTATCTCCCCATCATGCATCATTTGATACACCTCTCTCGTCTCTGTCCCCGTCGTGTCTTCCCTAAACAGAAAGCCACCCCCCGCCCCGCCAGCATCTTCACTTTCTCCTCCTGGGAAACTTTCCTCTCCATCTCATAAGAACATAAGAGATGCCAATGTTGCATCAGGCCAAAGGCCCATCCAGTCCAACACTCCTGTGTCACACAGTGGCCAAAAACACAAGGTCCCATCAGGAGGTCCAGCAGTGGGGCCAGGACACTAGAAGACTCTCCCACTGTTGCCCCCCCAAGCACCGAGAATACTGAGCATCCCTTGCCCCAGACATAACAACATAAGAGAAGCCCATGTTGGATCAGGCGAATGGCCCATCCAGTCCAACACTCTGTGTCACACAGTGGTCGAAAATACCAGGTGCCATCAGGTGGTCCACCAGTGGGGCCAGAGCTCCAGAAGCCCTCCCACTGTTGACCACCCCCCAAGCACCAGGAATACAGAGCATCCCTTGCCCCAGACATAAGAACATAAGAGATGACAATGTTGGATCAGGCCAAAGGCCCATCCAGTCCAACACTCTGTGTCACACAGGGGCCAGAAATACCAGGGGCACTAGAAGCCCTCCCACTGTTGCCCCGACCAAGCACCAAGAATGCAGAGCATCCCTTGCCCCAGCCCGAGAGTCCCTATCTATACCTTGTGGCTAATAGCCACTGATGGACCTCTGCTCCATATGCTTATCTCCCCTCCTTGGACCACTCAAAGGACTGTCATGGGGGCAGCTCTGAAGCGCTCGCCCCACTGCCCGTTCCTGAGAACTGTCAGGGTGTGGCCCAAGAGGGGTTGCCAATTCCCTGGAGGTTTGGAGGTCGGAGGCTGGGGTTTGGAGAGAGGGAGGGGCGTCAATCAGTGTTCCCTCTAAGCTGAGTCAGTGTGAGCTAGCTCGCCGTGTTTTAGCCTCTGGCTCACACATTTTTGTCTTAGCTCAGGGAGGATGGCTCGCTCACAGCTTCAATGCCGGGAGCTCACAAAAGCAGAATTTTTGCTCCCCAGACCCCACAGCTTAGAGGGAGCACTGGTGTCAATGCACACGATGCCACAGAGTCCGTCCCTCCAAAGCAGCCGTTTCCTCCAGGGGGACGGTTCTTGGTCAGCAGGAGAGTCACTGTTCTTTAGCTCCGGCTCACACATTTTGGTCTTAGCTCAGAAAGGAGGCCCAGAAAGGAGGGCTCCAGAGCAAACTAATTCATGCGGTAGCCAAACACTGCTTGCTCACAGCTTCAACGCCAGGAGCTCACAAAAAGCAGAATTTTTGCTCCCCAGACCCCACAAGCATTGGCGTCGATGCACATAATGCCCGTCCCTCCAGAGCAGCCGTCTCCTCCAGGGGGACCAGAGTTGCCAGTCCTGATTTGGGGAATACCGGGAGACTTTGGGGGTGGCGCCGGGAGAGGGCGGGGCTTGGGGAGGGGGCCCCGGCAGGGTCCGAGGCCGCAGAGCCCCACCCTTCCAAGCAGCCGTTTTCTCCTGTCAGCTGGAGATCAGTCGTGAAAGCGGGAGATCCCCAGGCCCCACCTGGAGACTGGCAACCCTAACGGGGGAGCCGGATCTCGGTCACTTGGAGACCAGCCCTGACTCCGGGTTGCCAACTCCTGAGTGGAGAAATACCTGGGGATTATTGGGGGGGTGGGATTTGGGGAAGGGGGAGACGTCCCAGGCCCGTGACGCCGCTTCCGTCTCTGCCCCTGGAGACCCGTCCTGGTCCCGGGAGACCTCCAGGTCCCGGCGGGAGGTGAGCGGCCGCGCCCTCCCCGGCTCACCTCCTCCAGGTACTCGCCCAGCTGGGCGGCCACGTCCACCTCCCAGTTCTTGGTGAGGTCGCGGATGGGCTGCAGGAAGGGCAGGAAGCGCGCCTCCGCCTCCTCCGCAGCCGCCGCCATCGCTACCCGGCTGAGGAGGCCGCCGCGGCCTTTTAAACCTCCCGGCGCGTGGGGAGCCTGGCCGCCGCCCTGCAAAACGGGCGCCCCCCCGGGCCCCAAGGGCGGTGCACTCTGGAGCAGAGCTCCCTCTAAGCTCCCTCTAAAATCCTAATTTGTGTGTTCCGGGCATGAAAGTCGTGAGCGAGCGATTGGGCTTCAGTCTGCTCGGGAGCCCCCTCCTTCCTGAGCGGAGACAAAAGTGTGAGCTGGAGGCTAAAAGACCGTGAGCTGGCTCACACTGACTCAGCTTAGAGGGAACACTGGTCTCAATGCTCCCTCTAAGCTGTGGGGTCTGGGGAGCAAAAATCCTGCTTTGTGAGCTCTGGGCATTAAAGTCGTCAGCGAGCGATTGGACGGCTGCATCCATTCGTTTGCACTGGGGCCCCATCCTTCCTGAGCGGAGACGAAAATGTGTGAGCCGGAGGCTGGAAAACTGTGAGCTGGCTCAAACTGACTCAATTTAGAGGGAACACTGGTGGGCAGCAATGCTCCCTCTAAGCTGTGGAGCCTTGTGAGCCAAAATCCTACTTGGTGAGCTCCGGGCATGAAAGTCGTGAGCGAGCGAGTGGGCTGCATCTATTAGTTTGCTCTGGAGCCCCATCCTTCCTGAGCGGAGACGAAAATGTGTGAGCCGGAGGCTGGAAAACTGTGAGCTGGCTCACACTCACTCAGCTTAGAGGGAACACGGGGGGCCTCCTTCCTGAGCTAAGACAAAAATGTGTGACCTGGAGGCTATAAAACGGGGAGCTAGCTCACACTCACTCAGCTTAGAGGGGACACTGGTGGGCAGCAATGCTCCCTCTAAGCTGGGGAGTCTTGTGAGCAAAAATCCTACTTTGTGAGCTACTGGGGCATTAAAGGGGTGAGCGAGTGACCTGGCTACTGCATAAGTTAGTTTCTTCTGGAGCCATCTTTCCAGAGCTCAGGCAAAAATGTGAGCCAGAGGCTAAAAAACGGGGAGCTAGCTCACACTCACTCAGCTTAGAGGGAACACTGCCCTGGAGCCCTGGAGCCGTCCTTCCTGAGCTGAGACAAGAATGTGTGAGCCGGAGGCTAAAGAACTGTGAGCTAGCTCACACACTCAGCTCAGAGGGAACACTGGTCTGGACAACAACCCCCCCCCCCAGTCCTGCAGGAGCTCGGACTGCTGTACCCCGTTTCTTTCAGGGGGGGAATTGCACCCTGACAGGGAGGGGAAAAGCGAGCGAGCGCCTCCGGCTAGTCTGGGGGAGGGTGCCCTTGAGGTCGGCTTCCTTCAGGAGCTGGCAATGCAGGGGTCAGGCAGAGGGATGCCCGCGGCCCTCTTTGGGGTGCAACCCAGGAGCGTGGCTGGGGAGAGGAGCTGTCAGCGGGAGAAGGCAGCTTCTCTGTGGGCCCGGGACAAGGGGGTCCTGGGCAGTGACATGACCCTGGTGGCAGCGCGTGGTGCAGGACATGGACTCAGCCGCTGGACCGGCTGCTTCAGGGTCGGGGTGCCAGCCTTCCGGTGGGACCTGGGGACCCCCCAGAATTTCTGCTCATCTGCACACTACAGAGATCAGCTCACCTGGGGGAAGGGGCTGCTTTGGAGGGGGGACTCCGTGGCCTCCTACCCGGCTGAGGTCTCTGCCCTTCCACGGCTCTGTCTCCAAATCTGCAGGAGTTTCCCTGCCTGGTGCAGCCATACCCCAGGGAGTGGCTTGAGTTCAGCTCCGGGTTTGAGAGGGGGGAGTCTCTGGTGTGTTTCTCCGTCACTGTGGTGGGACGTTGGGAATCTATTTGGTGCAGTTTGTAAGCTGGAATGCAACTCTGTGTGTGTGTGTGCAATTGTGACTGCAGTCTGGCTCGTAGCTTTGTAGTGTCCCTGCCTGGCACACGTGCAGCCTGCGTGGGAGGGCGCCAGTTGAGCCGGGCCTTGGCCTTTGGAGAGGCCTGCAGATTGTAAACACTTTTCCCTCTAGGGCCAGACTCCTGCCCCATAGATCCTGCAGTCTGCCCTGAATCTATGCTAGAAAGGTGGCGTGTAAATTAATAGTAGCTTGACTTGCTCATAGTCTGAGCCCAGGGGCACCTTTAAGACCAACAAAGTTTAATTCTAATCGATTAGAATTAAGCTCCGTTGGTCTTAAAGGTGCCCCTGGGCTCAGACTCCAGGTTGTTTTTGTATTTCCTTCATTTATTCCCCATTTTTCTTCCCCACGAGGACCCAACAGTGGCTTCTCTCCGTCTCTTATTCTCACAACAACCCAGTGAGGTGGGCAAGGCTGAGAGTAGAGGACTGGCCTGAGGCCCCCCAGCGATTCGAAACTGGCTCTCCCAGATACTAGAATCATAGAGTTGGAGCAGAAGGTCTTTCCTGTGAATGGCTGCTACCTGGGCCTCCTCTACCTGAAGAGGTTGGGGACTGTACCTGGGAACTCATGCATGGAAGGCCTGTACTCTAAACCGCTTAGCTGAACCATAGAATCATAGAGTTGGAAGGGACCTCTGGGATCATCTAGTCCAACCCCCTTCCCAATGCAGGAGTTTCACAAATACCTCCCCCTCCACACCCACAGTGACCGCCATTCCACGCCTAGAAGATGACCAAAAATTCCTCCAGGATCTCCAGCCAAAATGGCCTGGAGAAAAACTGCTTCCTGACCCCAAAGTGGCAATCAGCATTTCCCTGGGCGTGTAAGAAAGGGCCATGAGAACTAAGCACTGAGGCAACCCTTCCTGCCCTCCCTCTCTTGATCTACCTAAATCCACACCAGGCTGCCTGTCAGGTTGGAGATTAATAGTGCGCCCCGCCCCACTATGTACTTCAAGCTGTCAGTGCTTTGGGTGCTCGTTCATCATTCCCGCAGACACACATGAATCATACAATCATAGAGCTGGAAGGGATCTCCAGGGTAATCTAGTCCAACCCCCTGCACAAGGCAGGGAATTCACAAATATCTCCCCCCCCACACACACACTGTTAGAGAATAAGCCTGATATTTGCTTTATGGACTATGTATTGCTACACACAATGGACTGTGCACACACACACAGGCTCAGAAAACTGTACACTTTAGGTCACCTGTTGTGATGCCACACATAGAGGGTGCCTGCCCATACCTTACGTGTAAATAAGGTTTCAGCAACACAGTTGCCCAGCCTGGTGAAGAAGCACAAACCTCCATTATTTTGAGCAATGAAACCACAACTCTAGGAAGAGACAGCCCCCGTGACAAGGCCGCTTATGGTCATACCCAACACTTGCTTTGTTCCTGAGCTGGAATTTCCTGCCAGATGGACATTTGGTTATCAGTGGACCTGGCCAAGCTTCATCAGCACTACAATGAAGCATCCTGACGCCTGAATTTAACACCTGCCCAGATGCCATACTTGGAGTAAGGTTTTAGGTTGCAATATTGGCCACCCCTTTTAGGTAACCTCCCCTTCCCACATGCAACCAATAGGATTGTTTTTGGGACAGACTAACAGGTAGGTGGAGCTGTGGTGGCTCAAGTGGTTAAGACGCTGAACTGCAGGCTGTGGAAGGTCGGTAGTTCAGCAGTTCGAGACCCGGGTGCCGCATGACGGAGTGAGCTCCCGTCTCTAGTTCCAGCTCCTGCCAACCTAGC